GACTTGCAATTTAACCCACCAAAGTCTCCTGAAAAAAGTGATATTCAGTGCTTTAGGATTGAGCTAGTTTTTGTAGAATCGTGGCTTCAACGTTAGTTTATGATACGACTTTAATAGATTAATGCCAAATGGAATTAGAGAATACCAACTTCACACATATGCCTTTGGATCAAACTAAAAATCAGAGATACCCAACATATAATAACACTATCATAAAAAAATGTAAGATCAAAATTTTAAAATTCGGTTCTTACACGTTACTCACCTGTCCGCCACTGAAAACACCACTTCCTATTTGCCTTGTATGTGTTAAGTATGCCACCAGCATTCATTCTAAGCCAGGATCGAACTCTCCATGAGATTCATAGTTGCATTACATATAGCTTTTCCTTGTTCGTAGACAAAATCAGATTCGAAATTGTCTTTCATTCTAAGGCCTAGCTGATATGCATACGCTTCATATTCGTCTAGAATTTGCTCCCAGTACAACAAAAAAGAAAAATAAAAGAGAGTACCAAATCGCTTTCATGAGTTGCATTGGGCATCTCATGGATAAGGCCATTATATAGATACACATCACGAAAAATTTAATCCAAAAATTCATTACATAATCTAAATAGACCCGAAATAAAATCAAGTAATCGAACACATAATCAAATACCATGACAGTGCTTGGCGTCTGGAGCAGTCAACATCAATCCCTTGTTCCAGATAGACAATGCCTCCAATAATAAACCATGAAGCTGCCAAAAAAAAACAATGTGGTATTGTTCAGTGGAGTACCGATCAAATTTCTTACCTTAAAGTTCGAGGTTCGAGTCTTGGAGTCCACGTAGGAGCTCGGTAGTTGACTGCTACGCTAGACTAATTAAGTTCGTTCCCGAGAGGTGTAATGAACACGATCAAGAGTCTTATGATTCCACCAATAAAAATCTATCAGGGTGGTATCTTAGTTCTCTTATTAATCCCCACCTTTTTGAAGAGCTAAAAAAAAAAAGCATACAAGATACAAATAAAATAATCAAACAAGACAAAATAGTGAACCTGGACACAATTTTTGTGGACAAGGATTTTGGTGAGATTAGTAGAATAAATCGGATATGGAAAAAGTTCTCGAATCCAATGTAACAAATAATAAAATAATAATCAAACAATAAAGAAACAAATTAAACATTAATTCACATGTGTGACAATCCACCAATCATAAACAAAGAATGAATGGTTAATTACACTGGAGGTCCTCAAAATATAGAGTTTGTCTCATTTTGATCTTTAATGTTTCAATTGCATCTTTTTCACACTGAAGTATTAAATATATTTCTATATAGTCCTTTAAACAGACAACATCTAAATTACTAACGATTTTTGATCATAAACTTATCACGTGATACCTAAATATGAGCAACAAATAATTTGAGTAGCTCTTGACCACCTTCATGTAAGGAAGTGGGGTCCATTTTATACATTTTGTAGTTTTTTCTATTGAATTGTTACATCACGTGGCACTGCCTGCTGCCCACGTAGTATAACCGTTACAGCGTTACCCACAATATTTACTCGCACAAGGAGATTGTAATTAGATGTTAGAAAACACAATGCAGCTCTCACCTAACATGCTTTTGGAGAATAACCACAAATTGTGTGAATGCAACCAAGTAACTGGTTATATCCGACTTTGTTCTTCAAAAGTAGAGCATCAGCTGGCCAGAGAAGGTGATAGTCATGTAGATTCATTTTCATGGTTCAATCCTTCACCATAAAACGGGGGTGTTCGAACTCCGACTGTTTTTTATGCAACATGGTCGGAGTACTCGTCAGTAGTGAGGAAACTAGCTGCAAAATAGGCCATAAATACAATTTTGTTCACAAAGATTATAAGTAGAACAAAACAAGGATAAAATGAAAATGAGTGAATGAATTAATGAAATGTCAAGGAGAAAAAATGAAGTATAGAGAGCATATGGTATATACGCGTAGGGAACAGAAAAATAGAATAAGTATGGCAATCGACGTGGCCCTATGGGTCGATGTCATGAATACACTTAAGCATTTACGCAAAAAAAAAAAAAAAAATATCTCATAAGCCATTTTTTGATAGAAAATCACAAGTTTGACTTTATAATGTCATTAGACTACCTTTGCAAATAGAAAAGTAAGCAACTAATTGTCAAATATGGAAAGTAATGGAAACTACCACATAAACACAAGAAATTAAAATTTTTCACTAGTGAATAGAGATCGTTGATTGTAACATACAATGAACATTCAACGTTGTAGAGAAGGTTCAGTCCAAAACCTTACTGATAAAATATAATCATAACTGTAACACAAATCTCGAATGATATAGTCATATGCAATATCGGTGATCTGAACTTTATACCTCTTAAAATCTTGATGTACGACTAAATACTAGGATGTTTTGGGGGAGAGAGAATTGGTCGAGTGAGAGTAATGGGTCAAAGACTCAAATCAAATCACAAATGCAGCAGCCATCAGAATACGGAGATCATGAGTGGGCAAGGGGCAGAGCCTCGGTAACAAACTTCCCTGCTGTGGCAAAAAGCAATTCATATATGCAGTAATAAAAATACTCAGGTTTAGGCCCCACCCATGCCAACCCAAACCAACCTACCTTTACATGCAAAATCCCATGCTCTCTCTCTCTCTCTCTCTCTCTCTCTCTCTCTCTCTCTCTCTCTCTCTCTCTCTCTCTCTCTCTCTAGTTCTAGAAAGCTTGAAATTATTGATTAGTGAGGGCAGTGATGGCTATTAAGTTGTTAACCTGGTGATCTTTTTTGGGTTTATGTAAACACAAACTATGTTGCTTTGAAGTTTGTGCAGGGGTTCAACAGGTTCAATCTTTAATTTAAATACCCCCCGATAGTTTCCTTCTAAAGGCTTGGGTAAGTCATCCTCCTCCACTTGCCAAAATACACATGAAATTCTGTTGCAATCTTTCTTATTACCAATTCATGTACTTACTTTTTTCCATTTTTGTAACTTGTTATCTGGTGCAGCCTGTGACCCAAAAAACAGAAGACAAGGAAACATAGCTACCTGGTGATCCTGAAAATGAATGACCACAGTGGTTGCTTTGATCCCAACACCATAGAAGAAGTACTGGCTGAGGATCGTTTTTCACACACCCATGTGCCAAACTGCAATCCAAATTTCTCCATTGAAGAACTCTCCTACCACCAAAATTTTTCCCAAGAAGATGACCCTGCCTACAATGGAGTTGCCCCTGCAGCCGTGGAAGTAGAGCTGCAACAACTGAGTATGGAGCAGGAACACTATTACGACCCCAACAGCAATCATAGTGACACCTATTTGATGCAAGAAGCAGTTCATGACTCCGACCATGCGTTATCAGGTGATCAGTCAAATTGGGAGACCAATGTCCATGACATGCAGTCCATGAGTTTCTGTCACTACGCTCACCAGCAAGATCAAAACTTGCAACAAGAAGAAATTCAAAATGGTCATTTCCAAGGCTTAAACTCTTCTTCATTGCCAGTCACCCCATACCCCCCAACACCAGACCTCCTCAATCTGCTTCACTTGCCTCGATATTCATCTTCCTCTGCCACCCAATGCATCAATCTCCATTACAAACCCAATCCCGATCTCCGCTAATTTTCCAAGCTCATTAAGCTTTCTAGGAGACCTTATGACAGCAGAGAGCACACCAGCCTCAAATGTTTTCTATGACCCACTGCTACCTTTGAACCTTCCTCCACAGCCTCCAATGTTTAGGGGGTTGATTCAGCCGTTGCCGCACAGATACAACTTAAGACCCAGAATTGAATCTTTGCTTAATGGGGTGGATGAGAGAGGGGCAAGTGGAGGTGTGTATCAAGGTGGGAATGGGAGGCATGTTGACAGTGGAGTTTTTAATTTCTCTGGGGACATGAAAGGGAAGGATGGCAAGGATATAAAACACTTCACTACTGAGAGGCAAAGGAGAGAAAACTTGAATGACAAGTACAAGGCCTTGAGAAATTTGCTTCCCAACCCCACCAAGGTCTCCCTCTCTCTCTCTCTCTCTCTCTCTCTCTCTCTCTGAGTGTTAGAAACGATTTATGTTTGTGTGAAAGAAACAATTTCTACCAACAACTCTTTAACTTGCATTTTGATGAAACTATACTGCTTGATTGCCTTTTTTCTTGTTAGCAATTTCCACTTTCCACTCTGCTATCTATTCCATTTATCTCTTCTGCTTCTATAGATTACCTCACAATTCGATTAAATTAACAGCCTCAACATGCATAAGCTTTCATCAGCTAATTTTCCTTGTTTGACATTTTCAAATTTTTTGTTTGGGGGAGCATACCAAGAATGATAGAGCATCAATAGTGGGAGATGCTATAGAATATATCAAAGAGCTTCTTAGAACAGCTAATGAACTTAAGATTCTGGTGGACAAGTGACGTGCGAGAGAGAGGATCAAGAGGCACAAAACAGAAGTTGATGCAGGGGATGGAAAGAGTATTAGCATGACACCTCTTGGTGATCAAGACCAGCCCTACAATGGATCATCATTAAGGAGTTCATGGCTTCAGAGGAAGTCCAAGAATACCGAGGTTGATGTCCGTATCATCGATGATGAAGTGAACATCAAACTCGTTCAGCAGAAGAGGATCAATTGTTTGCTGTTTGTGTCAAAGGTCCTTCATGAACTTCAGCTGGATCTCCACCATCTTGCTGGTGGGTTCATTGGCGATTACTACAGTTTCCTGTTCAACACCAAGGTAACTAGTCTATACTCCATTTTATCAGTCGAATACTCTCGGTCCGTGTTGATACCTTTGAAATTGTACTTTTCATGTATGTCAAGCTTTGACAGTTCATATCTGTGTGATGCTCTCTGCCCACATTGCAGATTTTAGAAGGTTTCTCTGTCTATGCCAATGCAATCGCCAACAAACTCATCGAAGTAGTGGAGAGGCAGTATGCAACTATACCACCAATTAGTAGCTATTAGGTACGAATTTTTCTGAGTTAGTCCTTTTTTCACCTTAAATCGTTACTACTTTTACAAATACTCATATACCATATGTACAATTAGGATCACAGGACAATCATGGGTAGAGTATAGCAATTTTATTTTTCATGTTGTTGGAGCTTAGTTAAACTTAACTAAGAACAAGAGAAAGAGAGCATATAAAGAACAAAAAAGAATGGGAGAAGGTTATATTTTTTACTAAAGAATGATCTGCTTAAATACATGAGTTTGCAACTAAAAACCAGAAATAAAAGCAACAAACTTCCTAAACTTTAGCTACTAACCTTAACCGCTAGTAAATAACAGAAAATCAAAACAAATCTCCTAAAAACTTGGTCAAAGAGTATATAATGCACTGAATATCAGTTGCAGCCCTTAAGTCCTGATCTTAAAGACACCTGGCATGCAAGTTTCACATGTGCAGTCACCTCTGCTAGCCATGTCAGCATCCACATCAGCAGCTACTGATGCACACATTCAACACTCCTCCTTGCATCAGTGGGTGGAGATTCCAAGTTTCTCTCTTAAAAACTCAAACCTGCTTCTAGAAAGAGCTTTAGTGAAGATATCTGCCAGCTGGTTTTCAGTCTTGCAATGCTTCAAACACACTGCACCATCTTTTTGAACATCTCTGAGAAAGAACAACTTTAAATTGAAATGCTTTGTTTTTCCATGAAAAACTGGATTGTTGGAGATAGCTATGTCTGCTTGGTTGTCCACCATCACCTCTGTACTCATCCCTTGCTCCAAGTGTAAATCAATTAGAATTTTTCTTAGCCATAAGGCCTGATTAACAGCAACTGTGGCTGCTATAAACTCTGCTTCAGCTGTTGATTATGCAACAATTTCTTGTTTTTTCAAACACCAAGAGAACACACCTGATCCAAAGCAAAAACAATAGCCTGATGTACTTTTCATGTCATCTAAAGACCCTACCCAATCACTGTCAGAGTAACCCTGCAGGTTGAAACTCTGACATGTACTAAACTTGATACCATAACTTAAGGTCCCCTTGACATACCTTAGAACTCTTTTTGCTGCTTTAAAATGACTTTCACTTGCACAATTCATGAACCTTGATAGTACACTTACAACATGCAAGATATCTGGTCTTGTTGTTGTGAGATACATTAAGCAGCCAATTAAACTTCTGTAAAGAGTTTCATCTGCTTGTTCAGCTCCATCATCCTTGCACAGCTTCTCCTTTTGACACATTGGAGTACTCATGCTTTTACAATTCTCCATGTTAAATTTCTTTAGGATATCCATTGCATACTTCCGTTGACAGATAAAAATTTTATCCTCTTCCTGTTTAATCTCCATTCCAAGGAAGTAAGACATTTCTCCCAGGTCAGTCATCTCAAAGACTTGCATCATGTCTTCTTTGAACTACTGGATAGTTTAGCATTGTTACCTGTAACTAGAAGATCATCAACATACAAGGAGATCACAATTAAGTTAGCTTGATCACCTTTGACATATAAAGTGATTCACTATGGCTTTTAACAAAGCCTAAGTCCAACAAATGCTCATCAATTCTACTGTACCAAGTCCTTGGGGTCTGTTTTAAACCATACAAAGCCTTCTTCAATAGATAAACCTTGTTCTCATGCCCTTTCACAGCAAAACCTTCAGGTTGCTCAACATAGATTTCTTCCTCTAGAAATCCATTTAGAAATGCTGATTTCACATCAAGTTGATAGATTTTCCATCTTTTTTGTGCTGCAATAGCTAACAACAACCTGATTGTATCTAGCCTTGCAACAGGGGCACATGTATCAAAAAAATCCACACCAAAAACTTGAGCATACCCTTTTACCACTAACCTCGCTTTGTGCTTGTTAATTGAGTCATCTGCGTTTAGCTTTGTTCTAAACACCCACTTGACTCCAATCACCTTTCTGTGTTTAGGCCTTTCAACAAGTTCCCAAGTCTGATTTTTTTTAATCATGGAGAGCTCCTCCTGCATTGTAGCCCTCCATTTGGGATCCTTTTCAGCTTCCCAATACCCTGCAGGTTCAAGAATTGCAACGTTGCATCTCTGATAAACATCAGAGAGCAATCTAGTGCCTCTTACAGGAGGGTCATCAACTAACTCATCCTGATTTTGTAAAGGATCAACAATCAACTTCTTTTCTGCAGTATTCCAGCTCCAATGCTCATTCTCCATGAAGTGCACATCCCTGCTTATCAGAATTTTCCTTGTGTGAGGTTGGAAAACTCTATAAGCCTTAGATATTGAGCTATATCCCACAAAGATGCTAGGCTCAGCTTTCTTATCAAGCTTGTCTCTTTTCATCTGTGGCACATGAGTAAAACACAAGCATCCAAACACTTTAAAATTTTGCAAAGAAGGCTTGTAACCATACCAGGCCTCAAAAGGAGTCTTCCCATTCACTGCTTTGGTGGGAAGCCTGTTTAGCAGAAATATTGCAGTGTTTGCAACCTCTGCCCAATACTCTTTAGGCAATCCTTTTTCATAGAGCATGCATCAGACCATTTTCACAATTGTTTTGTTCTTCCTTTCATTCACTCCATTCTGTTGGGGAGTACATGGAGCAGTGAGTTGATGCTCAATGCCTGCTTCATCATAAAATAAGTTAAATTGTTCTGAAGTATATTCTTTGCCATTGTCAGACCTTAGAACTTGAATCTTGCAGCTGCTTTGGTTTTCAATCCACTGCTTAAATTTAAAAAAAACTCCTACAACTTTTGACTTAAATCTGAGAAAATAAATCCAACACATTCTGGTGAAGTCATCAATGAAAACTATGTAATATTTACTCCCTTTAAGTGAAGGAGTTCTCTGAGGTCCAGCCAGATCAGTGTGGATGAGTTGTAGCTTCTCAATTGCTCTCCAAGTTGACTGTGAGAAGGGTAGTCTTGCTTGCTTGCCAAACTGACAAGCCTTGCAAGTTGGCACATCAGCTTCCAAGTGAGGCAATCCCTGAACCAGTTGCTTCCTTTGCATAGACAAGACTACCCTTCTCATTGTGTAGGGAACAACAAAATATTGTTCTCATTGTGTTTCTAAGATAAATTGAAAACAAGGGAAACAACCTATCTCCAAATTAATGAGGTCTCTCCTTCGAGTTTCATTGGAGACAAAAAAAGAGACTGCCTCCACCCCTCACTAAGCTCCCTCCACCGCCTCCACCTCATCACTCACTGTGCGTCTCCACTTTGCCTATCTCGCCTCTCTCTCCATTGTGCTTCAGAATGAACACACACAGAGGCGAAGAAACTCCTGCAAATCGAAGCAACTCCGATGACTGTGTATCGATCTGGGTTGCTTCAGATCCGAGTTACTCAATGTAGGTTGCTTCAAATTTGTTTTGATCGGCTGTGTCTTGTTTGGTCTGTGTCTTGTCTTCTCCGGAAAATAACTATGTGTGTTGTGTGGGTTTGTGTTATGGTTTCCCCTTGAATTCTCTGACGAATGACAGTAATTTCCCCTTGAATTCCATTCTTCCCCTCTCTCTAGTCTAGGTTCAATGGTTGTTTTTTGGGTGGTTGTGGGTGGTTCGATGGTGGTTTTGGGTTCAATGGTTGTGCATGGTTTTGGGTGGTTCGGTGGTTGTGGGTGGTTTCGGTGGTGGTCTTGGGTGGTGGTTTTTTGGGTGGTTGTGGGTTTTGGGGTGGTGAAAAAGAGATAGACAGAGACGTGGAAATATTGGGTGGTGGTCTTGGTGGTGGGTGTTGGGTAGTTCTCGGCGTGGGTTGGTGGTGGTTGTGGGTGTTGGGTTGATGGTGGTTCTCGATTGTGGGTGTTGGGTGATACACAGTTAAAGAGAGAGAGACAGAAAGTTAAAAAGATGTGGGAATTGTGGATTATTATCTAAACAAAATTTATAATTTTTATTTTTTTAAAACTATTTTCAAAAATATATAACCAAACAAGTTTTGTAATCTAAAAATTTTTAAAAACACTTTCTTAAAACTCTTCTTAAAAATAGTTTTCAGAAACTGTTTTTTGATATGCAAACCAAACAGGCCCTCAGATTTTCTCTAGTTGTTTGTTAATTTTAAGCATTAGAAAGGAACAAGTCCAAATAAAGAAAAGGTAAAAAAATTAAAAATAAAGTTTAAAAAATTGAATTATTTGTTTTTAATATTAATCTGAATTATTTATTGTCAAATTATGTCATTTTTAAATTTATATAAAAAATTAATTAATTTCAATCCACTAATTTTTTTTATCAAATTTATTTCGATATCGAATTCATATCGCGTTATCTTATCATGTCAATTTAAAATTCTTATATTTTGCTTGGCCTAATGAAAAAATAAAAGGATAAAAAGTTAGAAGAATAAATTAGATAAGGGAAAAAAATAAGAAGAACAAAAAATTGAATGGATGAGTCTTTCTTGGAATTAACCAAAATTATCTTTCCAAAATTGAGAAGAAACCATCCAATACATCTA